TCCCCAAGCCCCAAGAGGACATACGATGAGACCTGGACCATACGCCATTGGGCACAAGGTGAACTCACTCCTTTTCGAACCGTCACTTTCCACATGTGAGACATGGCTACTACCTCATGCATGGACCTTGCATATACTCAGGTACATCCGAGATGACCATGGAGGATCCAAGGACCAAGGCCAAGCATGGAAGAGGAGAAGGAAGAAGAAGCAGGGACAAGCTTCTGGAAAGCCCGGAACTTCCGGCCCCCGGACCTTTCGGCCTGCCCGAAACCTCCGGCCCCCGGAGTCCAGACCAGCTCCGAGCGCGCCAACTCTCTGGATAGCCCGGAACCCGGCCAGAACCTACCCGGAACTTCCGGCCCTGCCCGAAACTTCGGCCTGCCTGCGAGCAAAGACTCGTGCCGAAGCCCATGTAACCCTTTCCCACTTACCCCTTCGTGGCTTAGACTATAAATAGACCATCCCTCCTCCTAGTTAGGGTTAGCAAAGGATTAGCTATTTGAGATAGAGCTTTGCTCATCCATACGGATCTCCTCCTCGTGAGAGACCGCGGCCTCTTCGAAGAAGATCCACCTGGATTCAAGACCCCTTTACGGGAAGATCCCTCGCGGATTCAAGACCTCCTCTCGGAGATGAACTACTGCCACTTGTATCATCCTTTGTTGGATTCGAACTGTGTATCTCTTTGTGTTTCTTGGATCTAGCATATGTGTGACGGGATCTCGTTGGTTGAGTGTTTTCTTTTGTGTTTTCCTCGTGTTCCCCTCGTTTCCTCTCGTGTTCTTTGTGTTCTTGGTAGGATTCCTTTCCAAACGTGAAAGATCGGCCTCTAGGATTCTATCCTACATCAGATACCGTATCAATAAGGTGCCCATGAGGATAATATTTAGCTTTCATCACCTTTGCATACAGAGAGTCCGGAAAAACCAATAGACGCCAAGCTTATTTCGTCAGAAGCGCTTGATTAAAAATCCACATTTTGCAGTGCGGTCGTTCTAAGGACTGGTGTTAGCTGACACGATCGGTTAACTAGTATAGTAAAAGAAAATAAAAACTCCTTATGTATGACACCAAAGCATCCTCGTGGAGTTGTCAATTGCATTTGGTGCTTGAGATTTGCAAATTGATAGATGATGTGTGTGTGTGTGTATATATAATAAAAGTATTTTAGGATTAAATAAACATATATTTAAGAGAAAAGTTAAATAATAATAAAAATATGGAGAGGGGCATGAGTTAGAAAAAGAAGGAGAAATGATAACTGGGGAACATTCCCTAGGAGGGAGGTCCAGGGAACGACCTCGTAGCCTTCTGATCGAGATCACACGGATGGTAATATTTTTTCTTTTAAATCGCTGACATTTTTTTGCGCTACATATGACCGTTTTCCCTTCCGATCATGGCAATTTATGTAAAGTTGCCATGGCAACTTTATTCGAAATCACATGACATTTTGAGTGTTCGCTGGGAAAACGCTCCCAGGGAACATTCCCCAGATATCGGTGTCTAGAAAACATACGCCTATGTACTCTCGGCAAGAAAAACAAACAGTTCAGCGTGCTACAACAAATATATTTTTTCGAAAAGGAGGGCATCGTTTTGGCCATGCATATATCTATTCACTACCACAAATATATGTACTGAATTGCTTAATTTTCCGATCATTGCCTTGGGTAATCTTACATTATTTATCATGATGTTTCGGTACATGGTTTCTGAGAACATTTGCACTGCCCGAGCCATAATTGATTTCTCAGGTAATCATTTAAAAAAATCCACTTGTTGACGTGAATAAAGTTGTCTCACATAAAAGCACGCGCACACACACGCACACACACGCGCACACACACGCGCGCGCACATGCACGCGCACGCGTACACACACACACACTTTAAGACACGAGAGCATAGTGTTACGCTTCTCGTTTCTTCAGCTTCACTATGAGCCCATATTTCATCTGCAGTAAACAAGACAGCTTGGGCTGGATGCTCTGACCTTCCACCAGCTCCACATCAAAGTTCCACATGACTGTGGCGACGATGGTCTTCATCTGCATAACCGCAATTTCCTTGCCCATGCAAACCCTCGGGCCCGAGTTGAAGGCCAGGAACTTGTGAGAAGGTACGTTCTTGAGCTTGTTGTTGTCTTCCAAGAGCCATCTGTTTGGGTTGAAGTCGAGGCAGTCTTTACCCCACAAGCTCTCCATTCTTCCCATGGAGTAGAGAGAGATAAAGATGGCATCACCGGCATGCACCTCATGGCCACTTGGCATGATATCATCAGTAACCACTGTCTTGCGCTCCGTATGCGCTGGTGGATATAGCCTGAGAGTCTCGTACAAGGTGGCTCTCAGATACACGAGAGATTTGGTGTCCTCCGGCTCAAAGACCATTGCACCCATACCGTTGGCTGCTTTGTGCGATGCAATAGGTGAGAGTTCCTTACGAATGATTGACACGATGTTAGGATTCTGGGCAAGGTTGTAGAATATCCATGGCAGGGTCGTGCCAATTGTGTCCCTCCCAGCGATCATGAAGTTAATGAGTGTCGCACGGAGCAAGTCATCATCAGCGAAGTCCGGGTCATTGATGTAGGAAGATAAAATATCACCTACAACCTCTTCATTCTCATTGTGGCCAACATTTTCTCCGTTCCTCTTCCTCCTGTCCATCGTATCCACAACAAACCTGTGGAGCACTTTCTTCGCTTCGAGGAGCTTTCTCTCAGGACCAATATTTAGCCACCTCATTGCCTTCCACAAAGAGGCTGGCATGGTGTGCCGGAGAAATCCCACCTCCATGACTGTGTCCATGGCAGTGGAGGCATCAACCGGAGGCATGTCCGAGGACAGGAAGCCAGGGTCCACGCCAAAGACTGCCATGGCGGTCATGTCAAACATTAACCTCACCATTAACTCTTGCATGTCGAACGAAGTGCCGGTAGTCGCCATGCGAGCAAGCAATGGGAGGAGGTGGTCCTTCACCTTGTCACAGCAATGGGCTGCCACACGATCAGTAAACCACGGGCTGCTGACCACGCCCGCAAATTTCACGCGCCGCCGACGGCACAGCTCGCCGTCGATAGTGAAGAGGCCACCAGCCATGATGTCGAAGATGGCGGCGAATTCCGCGCCCTTGGGGAAGTTGTGGTAGTTGGTCGTGAAGATGTGCTGGATGTTGGCAGGGTCGCAGGTGATGAAGAATCGCATCCCGGCTCCAGGTGGGCCGTCCCCATTGAAGTTGAGGCCTGATCCAGCGAGGACCACAGAGCTGTACTCATGGAAGTTGTACATGTTGGCCAAGAGAGAAGGGAGCATGCCTAGTATTGGCAATTTTGTGGGGAGCACTGCTTCTGCTGGGTTATTTGATCTTCTACGACTAGACCGCAGCAGGTACAAGTAAAGGCCTAGGGGAACAAGTAGCACAAGTGCTGTGGAGATGAGTGACATTATTATCACTAGCTAGTGTGTACATGGATGCTGTAAGGTGCAATGGACATGGCGATGGCTTCATTTATATATAGATAAGTTGTTCCTTGGTCTGAGTCCATTGGTACCAGATGCGTTGTGGTGCACGATATAGCATGCGTTCTGGTGCACGATATAGCATGCGTTCTGTGCACAAATATCATGCGTTCTGTATCGTATGAAATAGCATAAAACTTGTAAGTATATACCTCAGTTAATCGATGTGATATTAACAAAGGTATTTAAAATCGTCACGCGTATGGTACCTCAATTATTTTTGTTGTGCTGCTGCTGCTGCACTGGAGTAGTGGACAAAAACGTATGAATGTTGCTGCTGGAACAGACGACAGACCATGGCAAGCTCATCGTGTTCAGGAGACTTGTGCACTGAAGGGCATCCAGCTCAACTCTGAAGCTCGCAGCTGTGGATGAGGGGCGACCTGACATATATGTATGAAACCTGGTACCGTTATTTGTATTTCACCAGATAATAGTAGAATTTATGAATAAAGCCGATAGTACCACTAAAATGAATGAATAAAGCCGATAGTACCACTAAAATGTAAACAAAAACCAAAGCTAGCATCGTTTTCTTTGCAAAAACTCAAAACCAAAGCTAGAAGAAGAAAAATCATGGTTAGTAGGTCACCACCAACAGTTCTGCGCAAAAGCTCAGCACAACTATCTGATGCACAGAACCCCTAAACCTGGCATAACTGAACGCTCTGTTTTCAGATAGAGCGACATTGCAATAGCAGTTACAGACATTCTTATATTTGGGTAATCTGGAGATACCACGACCATGGGAACGTGACGTCATCCAGCGTCTAGTATGCCTACGAGTCGGGATCAGCGTGGCTATGCCGATGTGCTGAACTCAGCATGGCTCGCACAGCATGCATACGGTGAGCTGATGCACTGAAATGCTAACTTGATTTTGTGTCTTAGTAACACTAAAATGATACGAGGGACAGGTTTAGGTAACAATGTTTCCCTTCAGGAAGCACGGACGAGTACTCACGGAACACGGCGGAGCCGAGCAAGCATGGGGGGCCGTCGGCGCTCGATCAGTCAATGGTCACTAGGTTGCTATTCCAGCTATGAACGGATGGGAATAAACACAAGCACCTGGCGTGCAAGGAGTGAAGCAGGCAGGCAGAAACTGACCTAGTGGCGCTTCCAGAGGACGAAGGAGAGGTCGCCGGCCATGCCGTGGGCGCGGTTCACCCGGACGGACGTCGACGAGGCCAGCTCCACGGTACCACAGGCCGCAGTCGCCGTCGTCGCCGCCTTGAGTTTCGCGGCTTCGCGCCATCCGGTAATGCGTCGACGCGGCCAGCTCGGGTGTTTGACTCATCAGGAACAGGGGAAGAGAGAGGGTTTGTTGGGCGATTGATGGTGGGCTACTCCAGTAACGTGCTTGCTGCAGTGGGCCGTGTAGATGGGTCTCACAGGCCGCCTTTGACGGCCCACTTAGCTGCTCGGCACAAAAAAAAATTCCCCGAAAAGATCCTCATTTTTTTAATTCTCCTAAAAAAGCAACAGTAATTAATTCAGCTCCCGGATCACCGTTGCATGTCGCCCTCCTATGTTTTCCAGAAAGGAGATTTTGAGGCCTGCCAGTTCATCAATGAATCTAAAAGAAGGAATTTCGAAGCTGATAACCTAGCTAAATTTTCTTTATCTTTGGGTCTTGATAGACATGTGTGGTTAGTTGAGCCACACGATTCTGTAACAATTCATGTGAACCACGTTGTTGAATAAAGTGCGGCAAAGTTCTCTAAAAAAAGTAACTGTAATTGATAGTAAGAAACATGCAGACATCGGATGCCCATTTATTCAGGCGAAGAAGAACAACAACACTAGAGAACCACACCGGCAAACACCAAGTGCAAACATGAAACACAGAAAATCTTCCAAAGATAAGCAAAACTAAAAAACAACTAGCGTTGAAGCCGGAAACACGGGAAAAACGGCATCCATGAGTAAGCATCATCTGTCAAACACAATGGAAGGGGTCGCCAAACCTACGGAATCGGGATGGAGCACACACTGCAAGAGCACCTGATAGAAAGGAAATTGAAGAACACAAACAGAGCTGCTGTTTGGACCTCACCTTTGGGTGACAGTCACACATCAGCAGGGTAATCAGATAGATGTTCAAATGACTTCGCCACACCAACAACACATTGTAACACGCTTAATGACATCAACATCTGGCTTTTCTCTATGTAGAAGTATCACACCAGGCTAGCAAATTAGTTAGCCTCTTGTGGTTCTGTGCACCTTGTAACTGTTTTTGACAAGTGTTCAGCAGTTCAGGCTGGCCTAAGGCCTGCCACAGTTTACAGTCAAGAAAAATCAATTGGTACTCGCTCCATCCCATAATATAAGAGCATTTTTTACACTAGCGTAGTGTCAATAACGCTCTTATATTATGGGACAGAGGGAGTAGAATTTTCAGTGCCAATAAGTCATTGTTACAGTCAAGAAAACTAATTAGTATAGAATTTTCAGTGCCAATAAGTCAGACCACATAGCACACATCCCCAAAGAGAAGTTCCGTCTTACAGTGGATACACATGATAAAATTAAACCCGATATAGTACTACTAGATCTTCACATTTTGGACCAAATTCTCAGCCAGAGTGCCCACATTACTTAGGCCCTGTTCGATTAATCCCCTCACCAAAGGGATTGAAGGGGACTGGAGAGGTTTGAGGGGGATTTAGACTTGCAAGAGATTTAATCCCCTTTGAAACCTCTTCAAACCCCGCCTAACCGAACAAGCCCTTAAGGTGGGGCGACTGTGCCTAAAATGTCCACCATAATTGATGGACAGCTTGTTGTGAGGTGCTTGAATCCGTCAGTCTCCTTGACAGCTTGAAGCACGCCCTGTGAAGAAAGGTATCTGAGACAAGCATTCTTGAGTTGCAACGTGCCGTGCTGCTCCGCTAAAGCAAGGGTGGTTGCAACTGTCTGCACATCGATTCTCTGGCATAGTTTCCCTTCACAAATAGCCTTTAGCCTGTCCAGTCCATACCGATCTGCAGCAACCAACAAGTGCTGCAATGCCACATTCTGATCAACATCACAGTTGCTTGGCAGAGTATCAGTGTATATGAAGTGAAGAAGTGCCTCAAAGATGGAAGGCTCCATGTCATCAATCTTGACGTGTTTCATGGTGGTTTCTTTCATTTGACCAAAGAGCTCGGCCTTGAAGACAGACGATCGCGCAGCTAACACGCATCTGTGTGCATTGAAGAGTTGATCACGGACACTGAATGTCACATCCATGCCTTCTCCATCCTTCAACATGTTTGCAAAGTGCATTTGCAGATCTGACTGCGGAACTGGGACTATGACTGTGCTATCTTCTATGCGAGGCTCTTTCAAGACCGTCAAAACACATCTGATTGTGAAGCGGTCGTCATTGCGGGATAGCAGTTCCTTAAGCTTGGAGTTCTCAATAAACTTTTCCCAGCCCCAAGTACCACCTACTGGCTTAAAGGTTAATGTCGAGCTCTCTAGCTTATTAACTTTTCTATCTTTCTCCAATAAACTAAAAGTGAACTTCACCTTTGCATCTGTAGTCCCACTGCAGAAACACAAGAAGGCCGACATGTAGGCACCTGTATCCTCCTTCCATCCATCAGGATATATTCTGATGTTCCAGCCGTAGCCGCCGACGTTGAATGTGCTCGAGCTAATGAACTTGCCCGCACTCATACCCTGGAGCAGAGAGTAGCTAGTCACCTCAAAGTTGTGGGCGGTGGTGATGGACTCTGTCAGGCATCTCGAGGAGGTCTCGGTAATGGGTTTGTTAACTGAAGAAGCGAAGTTGTTGGCCATGGCAGCGGAAGTTATGGGTGTTGCGGTCACTTGAATGCTCATGTACGTGCATATATACTCAATGTGTGCACAGGAAGACGTTTAGCCTTCAGCAAACATGGCGTTCACGTTCAACAAGCATCCATTGTTGGCACAGCCCCAACCAATCCACCGAGTACTGACCGATACTTTTGGCAGCAATCTGCCTCAACACATAATTCTTACTGCCAAGCAATCTGCGCGCTAACCTGGGAGTGGCACGAGAAGCAACAAACAGTTAAAACAGACGTAACCTAAGAAAGTAAGTCATGGAATGATTCATGCAAAGGAAGTAATAACATGATGATATATGGGTATATAAGCAAAACACTTGGTACCAGTGATTTCCACACAAGCCCATTGTTAGGCTATTTTATCATCGCGTGCAGATCATAGATTAAATAACTGGACCAGACTGCCAGAAGAAAAAGGGAACCGGCGACCCTGGCGGTTTAACCGAAAAAGGGTTGCCCCCGCTTTATATCATAAAGCAAACATCACCACGATCCGTCGTAGTCTAGGTGGTTAGAAAAACCTGTACTCGGCTCTCACCCGAGAGACCCTGGCGGTTTCTTCCGCTCCACAAACCATCCCACCACCGAACCGGGAAAAACCTGTCGAATCGGTCGGTTTTCTTGCATATCATAGTGCTGCTAGTCCACCTTCTTGCATATCATAGTACCCCGTACAACGAAGCCAAGGAAGCCAAGCAAGCGCGAGATCAAGGGCTCTCGCGCTCAGCCAGTGAGTGGTCAGGTGATCACTAGGTGGCTGCTCGAGCTAGGATGCTATGGGGACATACAGCAATAAACACAAGCACCTGAGGGGCAGGTCAGAGCAGATACCTGGAGGCTCTTCTAGCGGACGGAGGAGCGGGCGTCGATGGTGCAGTCGAGGAAGTTCAGATGGCCGGCGAGGTGATTCGGCGCACCGCCGTTGCGAGCGGCCGTCGATCAGGTGGGCCTCCACGCGACCACGCGTCTCCTCCCCCTCGCCGCCGCCTGCGGTTTCGCGCCGTCTCCGGTATTGCGAGCCCTCGTCTGCTTGGGCGCCCGTTCAACAACGAGCAGAGAGAAGAGATGACTGCATTGCTTTTACGGGCCTGGTAGATG